GGCAGGCCACTCTTTGGCTATAGCTATTTACTATGTTGCTTGCATTGGTTTAAATTACTCTAACATTAGAACTGGTAGATTCAAAAGAGATGAGTTTAAAAAGGAATATTAAAGAAATGTTTTGTGTTTAACCAGGACTTGCCTGAGGCCACTGCACAGATTGAGAAAACCACAATGAACATCTGTCTCCAGAGATGCGCCAGGCAATGACTTTTCTGATGTTGTTCTTCAAGATCTGGATAACGTGACCTTTGCAGTAGCCATGCTGTTTGGACCTTTTTTATTCCTTCAACATGAGTTACCCATCACAACTCTGCTACACTTTTGAGGTGATTCAAAGGGTGGTAATGGAGTTGGATGCAACTCAGCTCTCAAGAAAAGCTCACAACTAAGACAAAACTGCTCCTGCAACGAAGCTCACTGTTATGCATGTGAGGTGACCAGCTCTAGGTGAGAGGACATTTAAATCTCACACTTGTTCTGCTGCATTTTGAAGCTCAATTCCAGGAACGGATCGCAAGGTTCATTTTTATATACTCTGCAACTGCCATGAGGATGAGCTGTTTTTTGTTGTTGTTTGTTTTTCCTTTTGCCCTGTACAAGTTCTGTTTGTCTGTTTGGCAGCATTTTTAAATTTCTCTTTGTATTTTTTCTTTCTTTTACTAGTGAAGAGATGTAGCGTGAACAGTTATACAGTCTAAATATCCCATATGGGTCGTGTGAAATGGTATTTTCAGTTTCATTCAGTTGAAGTAAAGAACGTTGAATATTTCTAAGTGTGCTGTTTTGAACCAAGATGTCACAGTATGATCAGTGCTGTATTTTTTGACAGTCACTGTATCAATGTTATTTTTGCGTCTCTTGAATAAAGGTTTTGACCTGCAAGTGCTAATTTCTTTAGTTATTGGGGTAAAATGGGTAGTGTTAATAGGAAGGTGTTTGCCAATTCAGTAACCTAATTTAATGTTAATGGAAACTAACATTACCTCAAATTGTTTAGTTATAATTGTTGTTTAACTGAATCTTGATGTCAGAGGCCTTAAATAGAATGTTTTGTATTGTTCTTTCCCAACATTTTTCAAAAGAAACAGTCTAATTTCTTTGCTGCGATTGATTCCAGAGAACACGGAAGAACTGACATTATTTAACTGTTGATTTATGTAGATTCAGTGGAGGAGTAATGTCAGTTTAATTCTTTACCTACTGCAGTGAAATTAGACATGTTGTTTTGATGTGACCAAGTAGTATTGGGTAAAAGTTATTGAATGGTGTTGGGATAAAGTGAGAAAATTGTGAAGGATTAAAATATTTCAAGAGCTCAAATTACTTCATCAAAACATGTTTAAGTCACATTTTATCAACACAAATTGCACAGATTTATTGAACATGAATAAATTGTGTTAATTTAACTCAATTGTTTAAGTTGCTGCCAAAGCAAAACATCTGTGTGCAACAAATGTCCACCATTGAATTAAGTAAATCCAACAACATATTTTTTTCAGTGTAGGCAGATATCACTCAAGCTAGTGTCCCAGCCTGAGTAATATCTGCTGATATATTATACAATGCAGCTGCCTAAATCCACAAAGATCCATAAACCTCAGAGCCACAGCAGCAAATAAAAGGTCAGCAGATCACACAGCCTCTACACAAACAAAACAAATCTAACAAAGCCACTAAGACAAACAAATATATATCTATGGTTGTTATCTGAGCTGCTGTTAGAGCTGTCCAAATCCCGCTTTAACCCCTGGATCGTACCAAAAATGCATCTGTAGCTCACAGATAATGTGTTTACTTGTGTTTTTATGTAAACAGGCTTCTAGATTTTTATCAAAAAAGATTTTATAACCCTCTAAAATGCTAATCTTCTTCAACAGGGTGATCCACTCTTGCCAAAAGTAATGCTGCAGCCATCCATCACCTCCATTGCTGATTTAAAACTGTAACTTCCAGAGGCCTGTACATCTAAAATAGCTCATTCATAAACACTTTTCAGTTTTATCATTCATCTGGTGTCATGTTCCTATGAATGCTAAAGATCTACTCATCCAGACAGACTTGGCGGTAATTTCTTTCACTAATGAATCCACTCACAAAGATCAACAAAGGCAATTCTTTCTTAAAGACACTCAAAAAAATATATCTGCCCAGATTGCCGACTTTAAGTTATTCCCCATATAATTTTTGTTACATAAGTACAATGTACTTACATTTAATTTAATCTGGTCAAATGAAATTCACTAGACCAAGCACATTTTTCTTAATGATGAATTATTTAAATAAATTAACCTTTGATTTTATATATTTAAGTTGCATTTGACTGAAAACCTATTTACAGATAACCTCTTTAACACAAGCATTTCGTGTGTATTTGAGGTACTTTCACATACAAGAACTGCATCAAAGGCGCAGATCTGAGCCAAACCCTAACCCTATCATTATCACAATACTGAGAGCTGGCACTGCTTAGACTGGTCTCATATCCCCGAGTTAGCACAAAAAAGAATGCAGCCCTGCTCAACTGGCTTATTTCAGATTAATATACATCTACTTATGTCCTTCCACTAATCTGCCCGTCAGCATGTCCCTTTCTGCTTTGCTGAATATTACTGTAGGCTGTTAGCCTATCAGTCTAATCCTGGTGGGTTTAGGAATCAAGTGCAGTGTTTGCAGACTGGACGTAAAATATCATTACCTCCAAAAATTGCAAAAAAAAAAACCCCAAAAAACCCAATCAGCTGTTATTAATGAAAAAAACTGCAGTTAATAAAAAGATAAAAAATATTACCAGTGTCTACTGTTAACATCACACCAACTAACTGCAAGCTTCAATATTTGGTAACAACTCTGAAATGACCCACCTGAGACTCTCACATTTTACCACATTTAGTAGCACTCTTTGTGGGAAGAAGAGAAAAAAACCTTCAATTTTGCTTTCAGCACACTGCTGGGCATGGTTAAAGTGCGATCACACACGCTCATCTATGTCTTCCAGTCTTCTTTTAGCTTCTTTTCTGTCGCCTTTACATCCACTGACCTCGGCCCTAAGTAACACAGACGTGTCCAAGCCCATGAAGTGGTCCAAGCTACAACAAATATAAAATTTCATATGAAGACAACTGAGGGAGACTGATCCCGCTGATATGCAGCAGATGAAAGCGCACAGTAATTTACAAAATCCTCCTGGGAAAAGATTTTTAAAAAAACAAACAACAACAATAACATTTTGTGTGTTACAGATTACCACAGATACTCGCACACGGCAATGTTCAAAAGGACAAAAGAAGATGATTGAAATCTCCACAGTAAAATTTTTACTGCTTATTATAAAATACTTTTACTGTACTAAAGGTAACAACTTCTAAGACACACTCTTCCTGTGATATCTGAGCCAATCCAAACCCTGTAAAACCAGCCATCAGTGAACCTAACAAAGGTCTGCAAAGTGGTCTGTGAAGGCAACAAGTATCCATAACTACTGCAAAGGAGATTAAGTTTTCATAGAGATAAACACATAGTCATTGTTCCCTGGCATGCCTCACTGTACCATTTCTGCTTTTCAATCAAAAAAATAATTTAAGTCAGGCTGTGTCATGGCTGAAATGGTTAATCTGTGGTTATGCGTCATCATGAATTCTAACAGGGAACTAGTTACTCTATTTTTTTCCTTTCGTTTACCTTCTAATAAACAATGAATACAGAAGAAGTGCTACGTCAGTTAGCCAAATATGAAGCATCTAAAACTGTAGCTCATGTCCAAGATGAGTAAAACTGTTTTTTTGTTTGGGTTTTTTTTTTTTACGCATCTATATATAGTAATGTGAAAATGAAAGTTTCACACGACTACTCATCATTTCCTTTCCTATCCTTTCCTGTGAAAAACAAACCCTTACTTACCCTTTACTTACTTAAGAGGGCAAGTAGCAGTTTAGATATTCCTAATCAAATCTGTTTGATTAACTGATCATCAGCAAATGTGAGCACCTCTATAAAAGCAGAAGTTTTGGCAGTCTGCTGGTCTGGAGCACTCAGGTGTATGTTAACACAAAGCCACAATGTAAGCAAATTAGCCTCATGGTCAGACCATGTAACGCTCAGAGAACCTGCTCAGAAAAAACAACAAGTGCGACATTCAAACATTACAGGCCTCAGTGGCATGTTAAATGTTAAAGTGCATGAAAAAGTTAAAGTTCATCATATTAGACAAAGACTTAACAAGTATGGCTTGTTTGGAGGGGTTTAGCAAGAAAAAGCATCGTCTCTCTAAAAAGAATAAACCAACTCGGCTGTAGCATCTGAACAGGAATTACAGGAAAATGTGTTTTGGAGAGATATGACAAAGTGGAAGTGTTTGGCCATAATACACAGCACCACGTTAGGAGAAAACCAAACATACACAGCACAGTACAACGCATACCAAATGTCAGCATGGTGGTGGAGGCATGATGATTTGGGCTTGATTTTCAGTCACAGGACCTGGACATCCTGCAATCACCGAGTCGACCATGCACTTCTCTATATACCAACGTATTCTAGAACAAAATGTGAGGCCGTCTGTGTGACAGCTAACGCTTAGCCCAAAGTGAGTCACACAACACGTACAGCGGCAAATCTACAACTTACAACTTGTGTGTACTCAGTTTTTCATATGACTGTGCGTGATTTCCTGTACCAAATGTATCAGCAAACTGGTTTCCTCTTTCAGTACCTCCCCCCCTTCCCAAATAACTTTATGCAAATTATTTTTGCAGTCTGTTGCCACACGACTGAGTTATTCAGTAGAACTTAAAAAAACAAAAACATTCGAATCTCGGGTTAGTGTGGGCTGCCTATATGTTGAATATTACAGCCGTTGCTGTTTGTCTGTCTGTCTCACCAGTTTAAAGTGGGCATTTCCTGTTTCTAAAAATTGCAGGCAATCACACCATCATCTGGCACATTACTACAGAATGACTTAGAAGTACTTTTAAAGAATGCATACAACAGTATACACTCACTTTTCTTTGCAGTAGCCATCTCACAGGAATGAGTCCAATACAGACACACTTAGTCACACACTGTCACAGCCTTGTCATCTCAGCAGTCCGACCTCAAAACAACTCTGCAAAAAAAAAGGAAAAAAAAGAAAAGTTAAGAAGTTAGGAGGCAATCACACAAGGGGGTGACAACAGAAAACAAGAGGAAGATTTACAAAGATTTACATGAGCGAAAAGTAAAAACAGTGAAATAATGGCTGGACTCCCTGTGCTTGTTCCTAAATGCTCAACCCCCCGTTAGCGTGTATTTCAGCTGAGAGCACAGCTGTCCTGTACTAGTCAAGCCAGGAGAACCAGAGACTCCCGACAGAGACTTCAATTAAAGGAAAACAACAAAACAGTCTAAGAGGATTAGCTAGGGGCTGAGGCTGCTGCTGCCAGTGGGCTTCGCACAGATGGAAAATCTTCATTATAAACACGGAGAAACTTTAACTATATTTATGCAAAGTACAGTGCAGCACAAGGTAGTCATAGCCAGTACATGAAAGACATAGCATGCAGATCTATTTAATATACTACTACGATAACACTCAAAGATAGAAGTCTTATTTTCAGGCAGTACTGCTGTTATACAACAATAACCAGCAGGCCTGACAGAGTTCAACAAGCAGCAGCTTTAAATAATTTTAACCAACAGGTGCAAGAACTTGTGACATTGCTATAGAATCTTTTTAGAAGTGGCATTTGTAGTGCATCCAATTATTTGATCTGGTGACACAATTTTTAAGTTAAGTCAGGTGTTAAGATTTGGAGCAGCTAATGCTATTATTAGTACAAAAGGATGTTTTATGAAAAGTATGGAAGCACGTGAGTGCCACTTTAAAAAAAAAAAAAAAAATGCTAAAAAAAGTTCCCTCATTGCTTTAACACTTTATCATTTTAGGCCTACATTACAGAAAAAAATTGAATTGAAATTGAATTGAAAGCCTTTATTCTCATTACACAATAATATTCCCTCTCACACCCACGCACATCTTCATACATCATTTTGAAACTTTATATTTCAAGAGAGGACGTGGAAGAAGTTTTTTCCCCCTGTGAGCACAAAACTTGATGAGTTTTCTCACTGAGGAAACACTAAATGGTGACAATGAACATGTTTTATTTTTACTGTAGTAAGTTCAGAGCAGGGTAGGGCAACACTGACTTTGGTACAGTAAACAGTAAAACAACCAAAAAGAAAGAAATGTTGAAATCCATAAATTGGAGTAGATAGGACCGATTACTTTAAAATAAGCCTGAGCCGTTGATCTAAAAAACAAAAACTCTGGTAGAAAATGTTGGTTTTTCTGTGTCAGTCTGACAATAATAAACCTAAATCCTTGATACAGTACATTCATATATTATAGCACATGAATGGATTGAAAACAAGCAGTCACAGATACAAACCGTCAATATGAAACCATTTTCTCCAATGGTCTGTGTAATTTACTCAAGTGTCAATGTCATCACAGTAGAAACCCACATCACGAAGGGGGAAAAAAAGCTTGGCTAATATTTGTTATTTACGTGCACATTTTTGTACATACATACCACCAAGAATATTAAGTGATTTATTTATTTGCTTTCATCTGTCTGAGGTGACACAATCAAACTATCGGACAAGCCCTGTGCTCTTATTTTGAAGGTTCAACTACCTCTTACCAGATAGCACTGGCTCTTCCTGTCTCTCGACAAGAAGCCTCATCGGGAAAGTGTTCCAAGGCTCACCCCACAGCTCGAAAATATATCCAATTTTGTGCTGCAGCTGGTGATAGTAGGTGTACTGACTTGTGTTAGTGTTGTTCCTGGATCATCATAATTAATGTTGGTCCAGGCTAACACGGCCAGAAATCAATCACATTGTTGTGATGTCACAGTATTGTGACGTGGAAAGAAACTTGCCAATGTCTACTCAGGAAAAAACAAACACCAACAGGGTCAAGGTTAGTGTTTGCTGTGATGGTGTTTCCACATTCAACAACTATGACATCACAGCAATGCGACTGGTCACTTGCAATGTTGAACCTGGAGCAGATTAATTATGATAATCGAAACACCAAGATATCAGATTGTGCAGTGAATTGTACTTGCCAATCTGCTCTGAAAACCTTCTGTGAGCTGGAGGGTCACTCGAGCCCAAAGCTGGTTGAAAACTGGATCTTGTGCTGCTACACTGTTAACTTCTTAAAGCTCCAGAACAGAATTAGTGCAGTAACAGGTGACATTTAGCAGGATTTGTTTACAGATTTAAGAAAAAACGTGTGTGTCTCCTTTCGCATCACAAGCGCCCTGCTGAAGCTACAGCTTTTATTCATTTTTTAAAAGTTTTACTTCTAAGACATCAGGGGTCAGTTGAGATGGTCCACAGGTTTGTTCCACCAGGCTGCAAGAAAATTTAAGCTCATTAATTTGAGACTCTTTATGTCATGATAATAACTAATCTCAGCTCAGACAGAAAAATGACTCACATGCATGTTAAATGGGGTTTTTTGCCCATTTTTAACAGAAAAAAAAATTGTATTCCAGTTTGGAATTGTCAAAAAACAAATGCTGCTGACGTTTAATCAGCCCTAGTAAAGGTTCCTGTCCAAAATAAAAGATTTGCCAAGTCTGACCTTGTTCTTAGAAGTCACTAAGTCCCTTTAAATAATTTCTAAAGGAACCGATGAGGTCTGTGAGACAAATGACCCCAAGAATCCCACTTACTGCTTTTTTAGCCAAAGGGAGAAATAAAAGTGGACCAAGTGAGGACCAATGCCAGACTCGACACTTTTCTTGCTGCAAATGGTAAGGTAAGGGTGTAACAGCCTGGAACAGAAATTTTACAGTGTCACATCCACTGAGAGTGCTGCAAAAATCAGACAATGATCCACTTTTAGTGGGGCAAAATACCAGTTCTGTTTCAAGCACCTAAATGGGTCGCTAAGATTAGAAAGCCACTGATGGGATTCAAATGTGCACACTTTGAGCTGTAGAATCAGGGTGGTGACACATTAGGTATATATGATTGGATAGATACACAAAATTTTACAAGGTTAAAAAGTGTTTACATGGATGTGTTGGGTGATCTGTGTCACGTAAAATACCACAACATATAGCTTATTCTAGGTTTATACTTGTGTTTTTGTTGTGGTGGAACACAACTGGGCAGGTTTTAAACAAAGCACAGGGAAAAAAATGTGAATGGTCAGATTATTCTTTAACCTGCTGTAAGACTGTTGTTTATTAAGGACATCCTGTTTATTATTATTATTTTTTTATTACTGTTTATTATTATTGAGGACATCCTGCTGTGACAAGTTTCAGATATGTGGCTAAACTGTTGGCTTGGTCACAACCTGTCAGACCATATGACTAATACTGCATTCCTTGCACTGTTTCACTTCACTGTTATGCAGTCACAAAGTTCACAAGTTTTAATTTGACTAGTATATAATTTTGTTATGCTCACAGTCATTTTGTTAAAACCTGCAAAAACAGATCCCAGGTTGCAATAAATTACATGATCTTTTTCTTCTGCAATACGCTGGGATTTCAAAGAGAGCTACTAAAGAGTTACTGCTATTTGCTTAAAACTTGGGGGTACTGGATTCTTTATGAATGTGTTTCTAAGCAAGGCAAGTAGGACAATGCAATGCTATACAATGTCACGCATTCATGGCAGGTGGGGCTAAGAAAACAAATGTCACTGTTAATTACACAAAGTTACTAAATACTGACAATATTCGCAGCAGTAAACATGTGGGTGGTCTACAGCAATGTTTAGGTAGGTGTTAGGGCTGTTCGATATAACGATGTCTATCGTTTCATTTTACGCTATTGTTTGTTTCGTGGTGTCGCAAAATAAACTGTTTACGGCAATATTTTTTCATTATTTTGATGGTCACTGTAGTGGCTATATTAATTTCTTAACATTCCCTCTTTCTCTTACATTTAATATAACCACACTACAAACAGACAAGCGTTTGTTTTTATGCGTTGTCGTTAGCAACAACGACGGTAAAACCACCGCGTGTCCGCTTGTTCCACATAAGCCTTTCACAATAAAGCTCAAGATCCTGTTGAGACTTTTCAAAATAAACTGAATCATGTGAAAGATGCAGTGTTTACGGATGAGAAGCAAAAAAGAGCCGTCAGGTGCTAAAACATAAACCTTATGTAACGGAGTTAAAAATACATATGAAAAACATGCACTTACCTGTTCTTAATTATCATTTTAAGTGTGAATTTTATCATTTTTTTTATTGTATTTTATTTTGAAAACCCAGAAACCGGATCTCACTCTAACGTTTAGAAGCTGCTAAGGCTTCCGCTCCTCACAGCGCGCGTTTGCACTGTGAGGGTAAGTCCTGTAATGAAAGGCTCTGGCATTTTTATGGTTTCTGGTGTAAATGTTGTTACATAAGTTGTACATGTCGATGTATATAGGTTCATGTTGATGTTAGAAAGTTTCTGTGTAACTGAAACAAAGGCGGGTTGCTGTTAAATAGTGTTTCTGCCGTATTTATGCTCTTTGGCAGTTAGTCTTTGTTAGCCCCCTAGTGGTTGCTGCGCATAGCAGGAAATGTGTTTGGATGTACCGTTTTTCTGTGCTTTTTGTGATGTTGTTTTACATTGTAGGAGCTACAATTGCTGTACCATCAGAAGACACCTGTTGAGTGTTTTATGTCTTCTGCAGGTACGTGAGCTTGTTAACAGCCATTTTGTCTGTAAAGCACAAGCAAGTGAAGATGTAATGCGCTATTGTTAATTTGACCACTAGAGGGAAATGTTTAGTTGGTGATACTTATGTTATCCTGTTATTCTGTTTTATACGATTGTGAAATGTATTTTATTAGTCATAAGATTTCTTTTGTATACAAGCTCAGTATGACAGAGTGTAAAATGAGAGAAATTATTATTTTCCACCTTTTCTTTATTAAAAGGTTAATTGTAAGTCTGTTAAGACAGCGCGCGTTTGCACTGTGAGGGAGCTACAATTGCTGTACCATCAGAAGACACCTGTTGAGTGTGTTTTATGTCTTCTGCAGGAATAAATCGTGAAAAGCCAATCTTTCTGAGCGTCTGTGATTTTTGAAGAGCT